TTATTGAGATGGGACTGAAATATTGATGTGATTGTGATTATTCCCCTTAATTGGTATGGTACTGATAATAGCTTCGAATTGGAAAAGTCAACCCACAAGGCATATGTGGGAAGGCGGCCTAGCTGATTGGGTGGAGATCAGACGCCATGTTGCGCACATGGTGGTACTACTCTTAATAACACTTTTCTTTCGCATTACATGTCAAACCACATTGTTCGTGGGGAGATGGCCTAGCTGATCGGGTGTGATCGGACTCCGTGCGAAAAACACGGTGGTATATCATTGCTAATGATCTCCCAACCAAAAATATATATTATTTTCGTATTTTGAAAAATGGTTATGTTTCAACTGGGCATTTTGATATTGTTGATTGTGACTTGCTGTTTCTATGGTTTTTCCTTTCTCATATGGGCATTATATTTTGAAAGAGGACATTTAGCTTTACATACTAGTACTATTCAATATGTACTAACGTCCCTTTTGCCAGGGGTGCTGCATCTTCAATGGATGCAGGTGGTTCATCAGTGGGCAACTTTGGTCCTCGTTAGCAGTTACTCTCTATTCAACAGGTTTAGGTGAGCCCTACTCTATTCCGGGGCCTAATATCACTTGATGTTATACATTGCATTTTGAGGTAAAGCTGGGGCCTTGTTGCCGGCATTTCCATATTACTCTTTTGTTGTACTTAGAGGCTCTGAAGACAGGTTGTGGGTGGTGTTTGATATTGGAAATTGAATTAGAAATGTTGGTATTTGGCAAACATGTTTTTCATTATATCTATAAACTTGTAATATTTTGGAAATTATGAATGAAGCTGCTAATGGAAATGAATTGGGACTTGTTAATGAAACATTTTACGTGTTTGATTAATGAGTAATCTCCTCTTTATTCATGGATGAGTTTGGGTAGAAGGAAATCTAACAAGCTTGCTCGACCGGGTTCACTCGATTGAGCGCCAGCCGCGCTCCCTCAGTTCGGGGCGTGACAAACTTGGTATCAGAGTCTAAGGTTTAAAAGTGCCCTAGGATATGTCGGCGCCGTGTCAAGTAGAGTCCTTCTTATCGGTGTGTTGTCGACCACATCGATAATGAGGAGGCGACTCGAACATTTAGGAAATTTCACACTTCTTTGATATTCCAGATCATGCGATAGAGCCCAAGATAGGGAGCTAATTTCCTAGTAATGTCTCATTTTCCAGATGAGTAATCCACGAGTTCGAAGCAGCGAGAAGGTAATGACCCCGCCATTGAATCTGGGGGAGATTGCACAAGAGTTCGTTAGGAGAATGTGTAGAGCCGTGAAGGGGTTGGAAGAACTTGTTGCTAGGGGAAGTGTCATTTTTCCTACCAATGTCACCGCACCACCGGATTGTATGGTGAGAGTATCCGAGAAACAAAAAAGGTTGTTGGTACTAATGAGCCGGATTGTTTGGTTTGCAAGAAGAATCACTTGGGGAGATGTTGGATGACTCTTGAAATATGTTACGGTTGTGGAAAGAGGGGGAACAAGAAGAACAAATGCCCTAGGTTGGGTACACCAATCTCGGTCTGCCCCATATGCGGGAAGGAACATTTGACGTCGTGTTGTGAGTATGCTCAGCAGTGTGTTAGAGGTAGATATGGGCAATTCCAAAGGCCCACACTACAAACCGGTATTGGAATTGTTACTCTCTTATTGGAAGCTTGGAAGAAGGATACGGAGGATGCTCACGATGTATGCAAAAAGGATAAATATCAGGTTAGTAGGGCGAGTCATTAGCAGACCTCAACCCCGTTGTGTGAAGTGTGGGAGATGTCATCCGGGAGTATGTCACTATGGTACCAGTGTATGCTACAAGTGTGGTATGAGGGGTCTCATTCAGAGAGATTGTCGTTCATCTTGCCAGGGCAGGGCAGGGGTGCAGCAGAGCCAACCAGTTCTGCAGCTACTACATCCACAACGCCTCCCCCAGCTCTATGCACTATAGCGCCCGCAAGACGTGGTGCAACTAGGGGTGGTATTCAGAGCTCGGGAGGGCCTAACAAGTTTAATGCTATGAGGAGAAGTCGAAATTCTGAGGCTTCTCCAGGTGTAGTTACAAGTATATTGACTTTCCAATCTCATGACGTGTATGCTCTTATTGATCCCAATTCCACTTTGTCATATGTCACTCTTTATGTTACTGTGGAAGTTGGGATAGAACTGGAACAACTTTATGAGTCGTTTTCTATATCTACTCTTTGAACGAGACGCATTATTCGTGAAGCCACTTTATCATAAATTCTCTTATTTACAACCTCTTGTGGGATTGAGATTTATAATTATTTCCTTGAATTGAGTTATAATCCTAGGCTAATATTTCCCACTTGCTTCCCTAAATTCTCAACAAGGGACTATACCTGTTGAATTTCTTACAGAACCTTTTCATTCATATGGATAACATCTGCTCACCGGTGCTTATGCATGCACCGTCGTAAAGTTTACTTACGTGGTATCATATTCAATGTAAAGAACCTAATGCTGAGATCCTTCTTGAGCTACTCTTTTTCTCTCTCTCCGGTGTATGTGGCTCCTATGGTGTGAATAGACACTTTACTCCTTTATGAATATTATCATGAATCCTTTTCACTTTCTAGTAACATGAGAGGATATCTCGGCACCTATCATGTGTATCTGTCAACTGAAAAGTGTCACTTGTCCGCATAAAGTTTCTGAGAAATTTGGGATTTTCACAAATTCGTCATAGGAAGATCTTTTTGTTGCCCATCTCAGTATGACTTTCATGTCCACTTAGATCATTCTGATGTAAGTAGATCACTTTGTGCCTAGTATTGTAGTTGCCCTTGAAGTGGCCTAGAATTTCAGCTTGAGAGTTATCATGGCAGAAACATGCCTAGCACATATCATGAGCATATTGATTTGAAAGACAAATTTTTTTGTATCTCTAGTCCTATCATATAGGATCAACTATTGTGAAGGGTTAAGCTGTTAGCATGATAATAATCTCACAAATGTTCAACTTTTTTTTCAACCTCATGGGCTTGTGACATAGATTCCTTGTGTTAGTTAATGTTAAGAGCGTACCACAACTTCATGTATTTTGAAACCCATATCACATTCAGGGTGCCAGAATATTCTCAAATTGAATTAAATAAAATTTCCCTACCCTTCAGGAGGCGAGTGGTGTCACGTACTTGACTATTCCTCCTTAAGGATTTCTATTGCCGATATACTGGTTAACTCTATGCCTCATATGTCAAATCAATGATGTCATCACAATGGTTAAACAAGTTAGGGCTATTGGTAGTAACCTTCATAATTCTTAAGATATAACCTATTGAAATGCCCTACTTAGCACATTGATGAATTCTTAAACAATTCCAGCTCTGTCTCGAAACCCCGTTGTTCCTACTTGTATTAAATCTATGTGGGTTGAAAGTTCAAACATGTCAAAGAAGAAGCACCATCTCATGATCAAATATATTGGATAGGCGATTTTATGGTCATATTCATGCTAGCACATCTTAGAGTAATTGTTGAAGGTAGCCAAAGGTTTAGTTTGGGTGTTCACATAGAGAGTTAGAGTTGAAGAGGGTAAACGGGTTATTCTCAAGACTTTCTCCATGAAAATTTTAGGTGAATTATTAAGGAAGGTGAAGTAGATGTAGTTCACATTAGGCCTTATGGTATCTTGAAGGAAATAAGCCAAACTATGAGTATGATGCTTCCCCATCATTGTCCTCCATGTACCCAGTGTTTTATGTGTCTATGTCTAAGAAGGTAGGTGGAAATCATTTCTATCGTTCCGATGAAAGCTAGTGGAGGTGAAGTAAATGGATAATTGGCCTATGAGAGGTACCTAATTGTCATCCTTATTAGATAAGTCCGGAAGTGGAGATTGTCTCTGTCGAGTGTTATGGCCAAGTCTGTGAGTTGAGGAATCCACTTTGAAGGCCGAAAGTGTTAAGGAAAGAAAATGTTTTGGCTTGTTTGTATAGCAAATGGTTGTGATTCAAAAGGTACTTTCTATGTGTTAATGATTGAAATGTGCAGCTCATGTCCAGATATCACTTTTGATATTATGATAACTATAACGATGTGATTAGTGTTGTTGATATATAATATGATGCTTTGACGCGTTATGGATGTGTTGTTAGGGTGGTTTTGGTGATTCTCTGGTAGGCGGATAGGCCTAATTACAGAGGAAACAATGCTGAATTTTCAGAAAAGTTTGGGAGTTAGTCAAAATTCGGGGGCTTGAGGTGTGTGAGAAAAGAGATAAGTGATATTCAGTGTTTGGGACGAACTCTACTTCTCATTCGAGGACGAATGATCCTAAGCGGGGGAGAATGTAAGACCCCAGAAAATTTCGGTAAGGAATTTAAGGTTTTGTGGTGCTGAGGTAGACTAATGAGTACAAAGTTGGCGGCTCAGACTTTTTGGGTTGAAGAATGCACTGGATGGTTGATGAAAACTTCTTGTAGAAAAAGGCGATTCTGCGGTCTGTTTTGCGACCGCAGAAATGTTATGTTTGCCGCGTAAGTGCCGCAGAATGAAGCAGAAATTAAGCCAAGTTTGAGGACCATTATGCGGTCAATTCTACGACTGCAGAATCATTTCGCGGACCACATGTTGAATAGCAGAATATCATGGGGATTTCCGGAGGAAAGTTCTAAGCGAGGTATGTTGCTAATACTAATTAAGCTTCAAATTTGCAAGAGAAATATGTAATTCACTGAAATATGCGAAAAGACAATATATCAACAAACCAAACACAACCCAACCATCTGGTGTCACAAGTCTAGAGCCTCTTGAAGGCCTGGAATCACAATAGGCACAGCTGGTGCCTGAGCTGGTGCTGCTGGAGTGTCCACAACAGGGACCTGATCCTGAACTGGGGCAGCTGGTGGATCTGCAGGTGCTGTCCTAGCTGCTGTGCGGGATACACCCCTGCCTCTTCCACGGCCTCGACCGCGTCCTCGGCCCCTAGTGGCCCCAACTGGTGGTACTGGTGGTCGTCCATCCTGACCGGTAGCACGTATCCTCACCATCTGTGATAGAATAGAACAACAGAAGTTTAGTACAAGAATCAACAGATTCGCACAACAGGAATTCAAGAATGAGAAGTTTTCCTAAAGGTTCTGTAGCCTCCCGAGGATAAATACAGACGTCTCCGTACCGATCCACGAGAATCTACTAAACCGGCTCATGACTCGCGAGACCTATGTAACCTAGCCTCTGATACCAACTTGTCACGACCCCAAAACCCAGGTCGTGATGGCGCCTATCACAATACTAGGCAAGACAACCCAAACAATTAACCACAGAAAAAATCTTTTTAATAAGCAATTTTGCTAATACTAATTAAGCTTCAAATTTGCAAGAGAAATATGTAATTCACTGAAATATGCGGAAAGACAATATATCAACAAACCAAACACAGCCCAACCATCTGGTGTCACAAGTCTAGAGCCTCTAAATACAACCAGTCCGACTGTCTAATACATGATAAGTCCAGAATGCGAAAAAAGAAAACAAGGACAGGAAGGAGGAAAGCAGGGCAGCGGACGCCGTGCAGCTACCTTGCAGTCTCCGACAAGCTTCGAAAATGCTGAGAACCCTCACTCTGCCGCTCGGGCACCTGAATCTACACACAACGTGCAGGGAGTAACGTGAGTATGCCAACTCAGTAAGTAACTAAAGTAAATAAGGTCTGAGTACAGTGACAAGCAGTTACAAATCATATATATAAGAGTATACAACAGAATATCAAGTCAAACTCAACAATTTAAAAGCTAGTTACTTCGTAAAACTTCAATTTAAATTGAAATACTTTGAAATCATTTACTTAGCATTTTTCAACAGAGGCTCATTCAAAAAGGAAGAGTGAAATCAGCATAAACGTCATAAATGGGCCCCTCGGGCAAGGTATCACTCACAAGTATAGCCTCTCGGGCAAGCCTCTCGGTCACTCGTGACTCAGCTCTCGTCACACAGTACTCACACTCAGCACTTAGGCTCAATAATATCTCATAATAGTAATAATCATAATAATCGCTGCGGCGTGCAGCCCGATCCATAGTTTATAGTCGACTACGCTCACTGGGGGCGTACAGACTCCGGAGGGGCTCCTACAGCCCAAGCGTCATGTCGCTACGGCGCGCAGCCCGCTCAAATATATATATCCCTGCGGCGTGCAGCCCGATCCATATAAGTATCACTGTGGCGTGCAACCCGATCCATAATATATACATATAATATTGCTGCGGCGTGCAGCCCGATCCATAATATATATATATATATATATATATATATATATATTCCTCGCGATTAGGTCCTCAACCTCTCTCAGTCATTAACCTCACAGCCACTCGGACATAACAACGGAAATCAAGGGAACTCAGCCTAAACGGTTTTCATATTTTAAGAAGCAGAGTGATAAAAACCAGGTTTAAACAATAAACAGGTAAAACATGGCTGAGGATAAGCTTTCAAACAAATAGAGTGAGGAAAACAGTAAAAATGCCCCTAAGGATCTCAACAGGTCGGCACAAGGCCCTAAGCATGGCATACAACCCATAATATATTATCAATCTCTAAAATACGTGATATCATAAGATTTCAAATCAAGTACGCGGCTTAATAGTCGCTACGGGACGGACCAAGTCGCAATCCCTACCGGTGCACGCCCACACGCTCGTCACCTAGCATGTGCGTCACCTCATTTATCAAATCAATATGAAATATCGGGGTTTTATACCCTCAGCTCCAGATTTACAATGGTTACTTACCTCAAACCGGATGAAATACTACTCCGCGACGCCCTTGCCTCTCGCCTCGGCCTCAACTCGCGTCGAATCTACCCAAAATCAGAATCATAACATTAGAATAAGCTAAGGGAACAAAGCCCATGCAAAAATAATAAAATTATACCAAAAATCCCGAAATTGGTCCAACCCGACCCCCGAGCCCACGTCTCAGAATTCGATAAAATTTACATCAATAGACTCCTTATCTCCCCACGAGTTCATGCATATCAAAAGCACCAAAATCCAACAACAAAGGACCCCTCAAATCCCAAATTCTAGGTCTCCAATTACAAGCCCTAGTTCTTCAATATTTAGGCTTAAAATTCTACAAATTCCATGATTAACTAGGTAGAAATCACATTAGGATTGAGTATTAAGTCGATAAATCTTACCTCCAAGTGTTCCCCCTTGATTCCCTCTTCAATCCCCTTCAAAAAGCTTCAAAATCGCCCAAAAATGGAGGAACTTAGGTTCAAAATCACGGAAATGGGTCTTTTAAACATTCTGCCCAGCACTTAAAAATCCTTCATCGCGAACGCGGTCAACGCCTCGTGTTCGCGAAGCACAAATATGAGTTGACCAATTTTCTTTCTTCGCGATCGCGGCTCTCCTCTCGCGAACGCGAAGGCTCAGCTCCCAGCCCATCGCGAACGCGGGACCTCCTTCGCAAACGCGAAGGCCAAACTTCCAACCTCACATCATAACCCTTCGCGAACGCGAGGGCCCACTCGCGAACGCGAAGGCCAAAAGTCTGCAACACTCACAACAGATTTTCTGCAATTTTTCTCACTTGAAATGATCCGTTTAACCTCCCGAAACTCACCCGAGGCCCTCGGGACGTCAACCAAACATGCCAGCATATCCCATAACATCATTCAAACTTGTTCCAACCTTCGGAACGTTCAAAACAACATCAAAACACCAAATTTGCATCGGATTCAAGCCTAAGAATTCTAAAAACTTCCAAATTCCGCTTTCGATCAAAAAGTCTATCAAACCACGTCCGAATGACCTAAAATTTTACACACACATCCCAAATGACACAACGGACCAAGTGCAACTTCCGGAATTCCATTCTGACCCCTATATTAAAATCTCACCTATCAACCGGAAAACGCCAAAATTCCAATTTCGCCAATTCAAGCCTAAATCTACTCCGGACCTCCAAAACACATTCCGATCACGCTCCTAAGTCCCAAATCACCTCCCGAAGCTATCCGAATAATTGGAATTTACATCTGAGCCCTATTTCACATAAGTCAACATTCGGTTGACTTTTTCCAACTTAAGCTTTCTTAAAAGAGACTAAGTATCTCAAACCTTACCATAACCTCTCCGAACCCGAGCCAACCAACCCGATAATACATAATACAGCTGAACAAGACAATAAGAAGCAAAAATAGGGAAAACGGAGCGGTAACTCATGAAACGACCGGCCGGGTCGTTACATCCTCCCCCTCTTAAACAAACGTTCGTCCTCGAACGAGTCTAGAAACATACCTGAAGCCTCGAATAGGTGAGGATATCTGCTCCGCATCTCCCGCTCTGTCTCCCAGGTAGCCTCCTCCACGGGCCGACCTCTCCACTGCACTTTCACTAAAGCTATACCCTTTGACCTTAACTTTCGAACCTGCCGCTCCAAAATAGCTACTGGCTCCACATCATACGTCAAATCATCTTCTAACTGAACCGTGATGAAGTCCAAAACATGAGACGGATCCCCAATATACTTCCGGAGCATAGAAACATGAAATACCGGATGCACACTCGATAGGCTGGGTGGCAATGCAAGCTCATAAGCCACCTCCCTAATCCTCCGAAGCACCTCAAAAGGCCCAATGAACCGGGGACTCAATTTAACTTTCTTCCCAAATCTCATAACACCCTTCATGGGTGGAACCTTCAACAGAACCTTCTCACCAACCATGTAGGACACATCCCGAACCTTCCTGTCAGCATTACTCTTTTTGTCTCGACTGCGCCGTACGAAGCCTCTCCTAAATCAGCTTCACCTTGTCTAAAGCTTCCTGCACCAAGTCTGTGCCCAATAGTCTAGCCTCACCCGGCTCGAACCAACCAACTGGAGATCTACACCGCCTCCCATACAAAGCCTCATATGGAGCCATCTGAATACTCGACTGGTAACTGTTGTTATAAG